CAATGTCTGGCAGAAACAATCCCTGATGGCTCTGAGGATGGATACACTACTGGCCAAGGCTGGGCCAGTTAGAGATGATGGTAATGCTTCTGTGATAAGATATTTAAGAAGAAATCGTAAACAAAGGTGGTGGTGCAGTTTTAATTCCAGCTATAGAAGAGGAGGTGAGAACCTGAGAGAGAAACAACATGGAGACACTAAGGTCAATGCAGAAGGAAGGGGAGGAGGTGCTTCAGGCGCTGGAGCTGACATTCCTTTGTAGGCTGTGGAGATGACCATGGTGAAGCAGCTGCACACCCGCAGCCCATGGGGATCCACAGGGGATGCGGAGATCCACCTGCAGCCCTTGGAGGAGGTGCCCACGCCAGAGGAGGCTGTGATGCAGTGGGAGACCTGGTGGAGAGAAGGGACCGTTGCTTTCAAACAGGAGCAGCCTGTCCTTGGAGGACTACACCTCATGGAAGAGTGCCCCCCCCCACCACAGCTGTTTTGGGAGGACTGCTGCTTGTGAGATGGGAACCACACTGGACAAATTCTCAGATAACTGCCTCCCATGGGAAGGGAGACCATGGTCTCACGATGGAATGACTTCTCTCCCTAAGCCAAGCAGAGCAAAACCTTGTGTGATGAGCTGGCCCCCACCCCCTGTTGGTTGGAAGGAAGGAGGTGTTAGGGGGAAAATGGTATTTTTAAGGGCTTATTTTATTTCTCATTTTCCTGCTCTGGTTTTGTTAGTAATAACTTCACTTGATGTTTCTAAATTCAGCATGTTTTGCCCTCGGAGTGTTTCTTCCTGGTCCTTATCTCAATTCATGAACCATGGATGCCTGGTGTTTGGCCAGTGCCAAACCACAACTCCCCCGCAGGGTTAAATGCTGATGATAACACCCTATGGTTGGAGATATCCCTTGGGTCAGTTGGGTTTGGCTATCCTGGCTGTGCCCCCTCCCAAATCCTTGTGACCCCTGGACTGCTCACTATCAGAGCATGAGAAGCTGAAAAGCCCTTGACTTAGGTTAAGCACTATCCGGCAGCTAAAGTGTCTGTGTATTACCAGTGTTATCCTCCTCCTAAAACCAAAACATGCCATTGTACCAGCTCCTGGGAAGAATTAAACTCAATCCCAGCCCAAACCAGGACAATAATGAATGTAAATTGAGTTTAGATTCCAAAACAAATTCCAAGGGACTGACATTAGTACACATCCCTAAGAATAGCAAGGCAAGCATCCTTTTAAGATCCATGATATTATACCACCTGGCTGAGTAAATGCAGGCAAGCAAGACAAACCTTCCGGCCCTGTGTTTGTCTGTGCAAAAGCTTCAATGAGCTTGACACATAACCCATGCTTCTGCTTATCTACATAGCTCCTTTATCTCTTAATCTTTGTTTTATCTTTGACAGGAGGATTTTTTTTTGTGGGAATCCTTAAAATCAGAGGGTTTTGGGAAAGCTGCAAAAGACAGGCCTCAGAGACAGCAAAACTGCGATTAGAGCTAAGCAATAGCCATAGGATTTGTCAGCAGAAAAATGATATAAGAAGTAGAAATAAGAACAAATAGAATAATGGTCTGTGTGTTAATGCTTGGCTAGAATAACTCCCTAAGCTACAGAAAAGTATATTTAACAAGATATTAGGAAGTTATAAGCTTGATAATGGAGTTCTGTGCATTATATTTTAAGACATAAACAAGTATGTTCAAAATAAGCAAGCATTATTTTAACAAAAGGTGTGCGTGCTTGTAGTAGTTGGATAGAACTAATGTCAATATGGTTTTGATTTGTGTGATTAGTCAAAAGACTTTTAAAGTAAGTTGTAACATTGAGTTCTTTGTCTGCTGTCAGGGACGTGAGCTGCTGGTATTGTCATAAACCTGTAATGAGACTGATGCTGGAAAATATAGCAGCTTGAGACACCCTCCCCAGCAGTACTGTCCTGTTTGTGATTTGTACATAGACCCCCTGCCAGCAATACTGAGATCAGGTGGAAATAGATTTCCAGCAATGTTAGTAAAAAAAAAAAAAATTAGTGATATAGTAGCAGAAGTTTGGTTTTAAAAAAAAGGCATACATGATTCCTCTTTCTTGCCTGTTTTCTAATTCCTATCACCAAATATTATGCATTCGCAGCAAGGACTATTAGTAAAAAGAGTCAGGATGGTAGCCTATGAAGAAGAACCTTATTTCACATATCAAAGCTTGTAAGACAATGTGAATCAAATCAGCGATCTTTAGCTTAAAAAGAAGGAACAAGACATCCTAATTACCTCTTGTCTGTTCACAACATCAGATTTGTCACCATGGGGAGAAGACAGTTACACACAGAGAATATGCTTTTGAGCAGTGGCAGCTGGGGTATTACAGGATACTTCTGTAGTCATTCCTGAATTTAAAACTCAAGGAATGCAAAGGCAAGTAAATGTTTCAATTCTTCAGCCCTTGCACTTTATGACTGCGACTGGCGATTCAAAACACGTCATACTACTCATTAGCGAAACTGCTATCGATATGCCTCCTTCTCACAGCCCTTCCATCTTCTATCCTCTCTTCATTTCAGTCAAATTCCAGGCAGAAGCCAAATTCTTCAGGAGAAGTTTGTATTGAAAAAAGAAAGCAAGGAAGATCAGAGATCACATGATACTGCAGCACTCCAGATACACATCAGCTAGAACCCTCAGCTGCTCCACTGACAGTTTTAGCTGATTTCCAACTGATATCTGATATTTAGCAGATTCAAATTTCAGCATGCAGAAACCAAACAGAAGTCTCATGTTAGAGCTGGGAATACCGAAAGTATTTGAGTGCTGATGTGAATCTTTAAGTACCAATTTATTAGAAAAATAGGCTAGCTCTGCTTTTACCAACACAAATCTTTAGTTCGTGTGCCACTCACTCACTACATATGAGATCTCCTGCACTGGCAGGGGGAATGGCACCACCATTCATACTTCAGTACTAGCAGTTAATGAATGTCAAGAGCATAGTTCCCTACTACACCACAGGCATAGTCAAGGGTACCCCAGAACCTATTCTGGACCCTGACACACCGACTCCGTATGGGTCCTCTGCTCACCATCTGGTTCAGTGTGGTGCTCACTGCAAGCATGCAGCACTTGCACACTGGCCCATGGGCACACTCCAGGCTTCTGTGTCCCCCTCAAAACCAGCACTCACCCTCTGCCCATGTAACACCCCTGCCCAGACCTGCAGCCTCCCACTTTCTTGCCGGTTCAGTTTCTTGTTTGCTGGGGAATACATGTACAGACCTGGGTTGGGGAGGGCATAGCCAGCACCAGGCTGAGATCTCTGTGCATTGCCCCATCAGCTGGCACCATTGCACCAGCACTCAACACCCCAGACCCTCAAGATTCCAGGCTCACTAAGTGCAAAGTTCTGTTTTGATGGAGTTTCCCCAGAGCTCCTGCACTTGCTGTGATTGACAGGGTTGTTTTGTTGTCTTTCTGTCACAGACTAGACATAAAATGTGTCAAGTTGAAGGGAATCATAACCATAAAGTCCTACTCCTCTTGCAGGACTGCCTGTCAGATTTGCATCCCTCAATTTTAATTTCTGACTTTCCCTTTCCTGACTTTTCCTTAGTATCCCGTTTGACAAGGTCCTTGATTAGATAACCTTTCTGAAGTAAACATGATGATGTTCCACACCTTCCTATCAATTAATGTGACCAGCCACCCCTGGCTCTCGTTACTACCTCTCTTACCATCTCTCTGGTGGCTTTGGGTCATTGTTCATGTTGTCCCACTTTTCCTACTAGTCCCTTCTTCACCTCAAATGTTCTTGACCGGAAACACTTCGAGGAGCAGCAGTTTTTTCTTTGCTCTCCTTCCTTCCCAGCCTTTCTTTTTCTTGAAATTCACTAAAAATGTTCCTGTTCCTTTACCTGTCTATAAAGCAGCAACTGGACAAGCTGGCATTGGAAACAAAATTGATGGATATTTCTATCTTGATACAGACAGAATAACCCTCCAGTTCCTGAGGTAATGGTCACAGAGAACAAACAGGCAGCTTTCATAGCAACCAGATCTCATGTCTGTCAATACAAGCTTCCAGCAATGCTCAGCTCTCTCACCCACCCAGCCCTTAGGTGGATGTGACTCAGGATTTAGCTAAGGGGCAATAACGTGGGGTTTATATGCAGCAAATGGCAGTTAACTCCTGTTTAAGAAAAACACACTGTCAATTTGTCTAGGTATTACTAAATGTCATCACATAGAGAAAGGCTTCGGCATGTGTCTTCCCACTGCTGCTGCTTGGGATTGGCCTGGTGTGGTTTCTGCTGCAGCACAACTAAAGGCGGAATTAAACACTCCACACAACACCCAGCAAAAGCATAAGGAGACATGCATCTGTTTTTAAGATATGATAGCAACCCCCTAGCCAACAGTTAGATGTTCTTGCTTTGTTCTGCATATTTCTAGTTTTGTTTCTGGTGCTTAATTTCTCTTAAATGTGTCACTCAATTCCTTGTAGACAGTTGGCTGACAAATGCCTTCTCCATTCAAAACAGTTCAAAGGTGGTGGTGTTCTTCAGAGATCCTCCTATCATCACGTTAACACAAGAGCATCAGAAAGTGCACAGGCTTGTTAAGCATCACTGAGGCTTCATAACAAGATAGTGCGACGCTTTATATGGGATCAGTTTAAATCCTAGCACTCTTGACTTCACATTTACTGAAGCCCGCCCTATTGTCCTATTTTGTACAACACTGAGCATATAGTGTAACTCTGGGAACCACAGCTGTGACTTAGTTAATGATCGCAATAAATCCTACTTAAGCAGAGACAGGAAGAGAATTATGCAAATGACTATTTCTGTGCACCATGCACTTGATAACTGAAGACATCCCACTATAAGCTTCAGCACATAAAACAAGTAGTTTTTAAATCCAGATATGTGAAAAGTGTGTAAGCAAAGGAACGGCTTACAGAATTTTGCTTCTGAAAAGTTGCAGTTTCAGAACATTTATTATAAACCTAATAGTAAAGGAAGCATACAGAAGGAATATGTACAAGGAGGGATGGTTAAAAACCCAAGACGACAGATTTTTCACATACAGCTGTGACTGTAAGAAAGAATTACTTGTCTGAAAAGACCTTTCTAAAACATCGTGATAAAAGACTCTGCCACTCACACTTGGCAGCTAGATAAGATGTCTTCTATCAGCCTCTTGTAGACCCAGGCATCACCTTTAAGCCGTTGTCGCCGGATACCTACTGCTTCAGGCTTAGTAAGCTGACATACTTCTAACTCAAACTCCATAGTTACTTTACCAAAATCTGACCGTGTTTGACATTTCAGGGTATAACTGCAAAACAGAAGAAAAAACAGAATAATTGTAGACCCATTTTGTATTTGTTTTGCAATGCTATTTTAAATCAGTAGAAGCACTTTAAATAAAATACCCCATTGCTGTTCAGAATATTGTGAAACAGTCCACAATTTAGTCACCTGAGAGCTTTGTAAATCCTGGAGTTTCAGGGCACCATATTTATTATTATGCCCTAGGACCAATGGAGCATCAATGCCCCACACTGCCACAAGAACCCCTGCTAGCCAACAGCCCCTCTCCTCAGAGCTGGAGCAATGGAAAGTTCCCATGTTTTCCCTAGACAAGAACACTCTGTTGGCTGCAGCTCAGCTGGTGTGAAAATAGGAAAAACTGAATGCAGAGTTTGAACAATTACAGTGGAGGCAGGTGCTGCTGTGCAATCCAGCATCCTTCCATATTATGAGTTTGGAAATGCATCAGAGGATTCATGTAAACTCTGATGCTCTACCAATACCCAACACTGAAATACTCACCAACTTGAGGAAATACATATTGAAAAGCGGGCACAATGGTTATTTCATGCATTGGGAACTCAGGAAATAGTCTTTCAGTTTGATCAAAAGTAAGAACCAATCTAAGCAATCAGTAGCTTAGTGTAGCTAGTAAACAGTACAAATTCAAATAATCCACAAAAAGCTGTGTGGCTTCTGCACACATTTTAAAATGTACTGACCTCTTGCCTAAAGGCTAATGTCTTTTAATTGCCCAGCCTGAGAGTTCAAAGGTATCTACACTATTTTCCAAAATTATCCCATTTGTTCATTGACTGTACCTAAACCAACTTTTGGTATTTAAAATTTCACATGAGATGGCTGATGTGATTTTTTTCCTACACATTACCCTGCTACTATTGGTTTATACCTGTTGGTAAAAGAACTCTGCTAGAAGACACTTAATATAGTTTTGCACTGTTTGGGCATGTTTTATTGCACATATATTTAGTGCTTTGTACACTTTCTATAAAGATTATTTTACAATAGGGTCAAGAAACTAAGTTTAAATACTTTGTTTTTTAAGGACTGGACTAGCAACCATTTAGACAAATACAAGTTGAACTAATCATATGTTACACTTACCCCTTCTGAACATATTCCACATGCTTCTTTGAAAGAACAATGATTATTTCATTCAACAGTTCGTCTGGATTCAGCAGATGAGTGGTGGTAATGTTACAGTGTGCCTAAAAGTAACATTAAGAGTAACATTGGCTTGTTGAAACAAGGAATAAAAATATGAAAATCTCTCTCCTAAAACTGAAGACATTGCAAAAAATTTTCACTAAGGAAGTTTCAGATCAGCTAACTATGGTGACAAACGCTTCAACATCCCAAAACTAGCACCCTGCTGTATAGTCCAGAGCTGGGAAATGGCCAAAAGCTGAGACGCAGTTCTTCTGATAACAAGGAGCAGGCAATGCACCAGGCAATTTTTCATGTATAAAGAAAAGAGGTTACAACATGTCCTATATCTGGCTTCTGAAGCCACAGAAGCGGTCGAGAGAAAATGAGACTAAAAAAAAGCTTGAAAAATTAACATAGGATGAGGATGCAAAGTCAGTTGAAGAGTGCTTCTTGTGGTCTTTATTTGGATTTAAATGTACACAACCCTCTGACATAACTGCTGTAACACTGTACTGTAGCCCAGCATCTCTCAACACGCTTCAGGAATTTTGCATAGACAATGGACAAGAGAAACTGAGGCAGGAGACTAAAGGCATTCAGAGAAAGAGTACAGCTTCCAGTTGCTCAGCTTCCTGGATTATTTGCACAGTCTAGACTCCTGTCTGATTGGCAGGTCAGGTTTGTAGCCCAATATCTTGTCCTGAATGTGCATGATTGACAGATAGTTCTCCGTGTGTAGTAGGTATCCCAGCAGCCCGTCAGTTGAAGGGACACATCATTTGCTTCGACACAACTGCTCATACCTTGATAAACAACCTGCCCTCTTTCAGGGTGATTATGTTTTTCAAACATGTTGCCTAAAGATTCAAGTACAAATTTTTTTTTGTATAGCTTCTGAAGTATTAAGTTGCATTTGAACAATGTATACAGAATCACTAGGGTTGGAAGGGACCTCTGTAGATCATGCAATCTGATCCCCTTGTCAGATCCCCTGAAGCAGGTTTCACAGGAATGTATCCGGGTGGGCTTAGAATGTCTCCAGAGAGGGAGATTCCATGACCACCCTGGGCAGCTTGTTTCAGTGCACTGCCACCCTCAATGTAAAGAAACTCTTCCTCATTTTGAGGTTAAATATGAGGTTATTTTATGCCCCTCTGTTCAGTACAGCCTGTTAACTGACTCTTGTTATTCACCCCTCTGTCACAACTGGCCATCAACCTGTGCATGCTTTGTGCCTTTTCTCCAGCAGAAGGAGAAAAGGCTTTTAGTGAGCAATGTCTACACAAATAACATGATTAAAAACTAGCCAGTAGTTCTCCTTTCAAACCATGCTGCTTCCTTCACATTTGGTTTAGACGGGCTGTAAGCAGCAAGGGCCAAACTCCTCCCTGGATCTGCTGCCTCAACCCCAGACGAACTGAATGTGGTAACTGGGGCACTGTCGTGCTATCAGCAATACTGTACGAGCACTTTACTGTAGAATTCAGGCAAGACAGGTCACAGAAGCTTTCACAAAACCGTTTCTGAAGATACTGGATGTTTTCAATCATAATTATTGTAAGATAACAATTAATACATAACTAATATAATTACTTAATATTATAATAATACTTGCTTTATGTAAGACCTTTGCAGCAATCATACCTTAAGTTTCCTTGGACAATCTCTAGTGCATCGTTTCTTCTTGCTTGGTGTAAGCATCGTGATCACTTTATCTAGGCCTCTTTCAAGGCTTCCAAATATTTTAGCTTTTCTCTTCTTTTGGCTGCTATCCACATGTGCAAGGTTGAGATCTAATTCCACTGACTGACACCTGTTACATGAACAAATTATTCTGTTATTTTTCCCTCACTCTTAAAAACCTATTATTTCAAAGATGTCACTAAAACATTACCAGACATGACAACACAAAGAAAATTAAATCACGTGCAATGTAATATAGGAGTTTCTGTTTGAAAGTCTGTTGAAGTTTAAACCCAGAGATCTATCTAGAAATTGCAGTTCTTTGGAGACCTGGAATAAGAAGGCACCTACGTTATAGAAAATAGATTATATTGAGTTACATAGTATTAAAATTTTTCTCGACTTTCATTATTTTCTGTGATTGTAAAAAGATGTTTTAGAAAGGTTTTTACTGAAAGAGTAGGAACAGCAGCTTACTGTTGTAACAGGGCTTCCCAGGCAGCACATGGATTAAGGTAGTCCTGCTCCAAATCAGGAATGTACACAAACAACTGGACACTTACCTTCTTTCAGGAAGAATCTCATCTGCTGCCAATTCATCTGCATTTGTTGGGGTAGCAGGTTTCTTAATTGGGGTGACTGCAGTGAACTGACTCTCTGAAAGAAAATGTCCAAGCCAAAACAGATATATCTTTGTGTAAAAGGATTTTCTCTTCTTCACTGATGATTTCTCATTATTAATAACTCTAACAGTTCTAACAGTTCTCTACAATTCTGTAGTTCTAACAGCAGACCTCCTTTTCTATCTCAGGTCTATATTTTGGGAATTATAAAATATGTTCTTAATACTACCTCTACTCTTCAAATTAAAACTATCACTGATTTCCCCAGGGCTCTACAAGTCAAACCTTAGGAGTAACCATTGCAGTTCAGTATTAGAAATCTGAGGACTAGAATTGCTTTCTTGCTCTGCTGCAGGCCCATGAATAAATACGGAGCAATCTGCTGCACTGACTAGTTGTGTTCTTCAGCAATCCGTCTGCCTTATATGACAGTTTATATAGTCATAATATACAACAGCATATTATGTAGTATAAAAACAATATAAAAATAGTATAAAATACATTGTTTAATATACAATGTAGATGCACACAATGATCTAAAAAGTCAGTGTCTGCAGAGCATGGTTTTAAAGGCGCAGGAAAAAACACTAAGTGAAACAGTCAGCAAATAAGTTGTCACAATTAAACCCAACTTCAATGTTCAAATTTTCAGCTCTCTACAGAATTGCACTCAGTTCCAGACAAACAACCTCAACATTTCCAGTGGATTCTTCCACTTTTCTATTTCCTGAATCAAAGATCTTTCAATGCAGCAGAGAATTAGCTTTCTTTGTTTAATCCTCAGAAATATCACTAAATAAATGAGCTAGAAGTGTTTTTACATTTCCCATTTTGGGTAGTATCTCTTTTGTTTTTAGACATACACAGACGTCAGACATTTCAAGTTATGTACAATCTTAAGACAAACTCATAAACTAGTTTTTGTATTGCTGTTCTTTATGAATGATCTCATTAAATAGCAGTATATTCAAAATCCCTTATTCCTCAAATCCTGCAAAAACTTACTGTTCCTGAACAATGCTTCTTAGCACCTGAAATGAAAGAGTCTCCTATTGCAAGGAGCCTTTAGCATTTGAAGGACAGAGTTAGCATTTACAGAATCAACACCATAACTTTAATGATAATCATTGAACTAAATGGTAATGAACATATGGGATAGGTACATAACTAGACAGGCTGATGACAGAAAATTCTGGTAACTCAAAAAAGCTGACACAATTTATACAGATTCCTGTGGTCAATTGCATAGCTGCAAGATCTACATGTTGTTAACAGAAACATTTTCACCGCTACACTGGATGGCCCCTATGAAAATACTGATATGCAACCATAAGAAATCCAAAAACTATATTCTTCTTAGAACAAGCAATTAAAGCAGTATGCTTTAATTTTTAAAAGTAACCTTTTATTTTCATTCAAGGTAATCACAAAGGAAAAACAGCGTTGAGGAAACTGCAGTCTCAATTTTCATTGAAAAGTGCAACTAGGAGCAAGACAACATCACAATGCTTGGGTATACCAAAAGGGGCTCACAGATGATAATTGTGAGCAGCAATACAAGTAACATGCCCTGATGGATGGTTAAAACTAATGCAGCACCCTACCAGATGTACTGGTAGGGTGCTGCATTAGTTTTAGAAGAAACTGGGTGGTACATAGGGAAAAAAAATTTAAGTGCTCCAGAATAGATGTATTGGATGAAGAAATATTGTGCTTATATTTGAGTTTCAGTAATTTCCAAGCAACATATATGTTCTAAGCTTTCATTAGTTACATTCTACATACCTTTGAAAGCAGCTGCCTTAAGGGGAACAGCTTGTACCTGTGTCTCAATCTGACTCTTTGCAAGAGGAGTCTTAGGAGTAGGAAGCACAAAGGGCATTTCATTTCTTAAAGCTGACACTCTCTCAACATTCTCTTTGTTTTCATGCTTCTTTGATGCCACTTTTCTTGTCACTGGAGTTGACAGTGTGAATTCCGTATCCTCCAGTTGGGCATCAGGCCTCGAATGCTACAAGAGATGTAACAAACAGAAAAAAGCCATTCTTGCTGTATTCTGATCACATTCAGGAACATTACAGACATGAAAATTCTGCAGCAGGGTAAAAAATATCATACAATAATTGACTATAGAGCAATAGTTAAAAACTCCTCAATACTTCTGATTCCCTCTACAACTAGCTCATAAGGTTTGCAAGTAATTTGCTGCTTTTTTACCAGCTCTTCTAAATTCTTTAGCTCGCACATTTAAGGCTACTCCTCACCAGCTCATCTAAGCACAGCTAGGAACTTCCCTTTGGCTTAATCGTAAAATTTTGATTGCTTCATTTGATTTTCTTGTACAATACAGAGAGGCTGCACTTCTTCAGAGACTTGTCCAGCTCTAGCCTAGGTCTGAGACCTTGTTTGTTGCACCTTATTTTTTTCCTGTTGGTTTTAAAATCCTCATTTACTCATTTTCTAAATGATCAAAGCTCAAGCTTTAGTCAAATTACCTATAGCTAGAAGAAAGCACAATGTATGTTAGATATATATTTAAAACACTTCTTTCCTCCATTTGTAACTCCACTAGACTAGATTCTACCAAACATTTACATATCCAGTAATTTTTATGTATAATGAAAAGAAGAACTTGTGGATTAAGAACACCATATCAAACGCCTGCTGTATTCCATGAGTATTTATATCAAATTTTTCTAATGGAGATTCTTCAAACAGTGAAGCTGTATGTGTAAATTCCATGAATACAAATGCCCATAGCACTTCACTGTACTCTGGCAGATCTTCACAGTTTTTTCAGACTGGAAAGAAATATTCAGTTGAGCTTCGACTGCACACTTAAAAGTAAGATTTCATCAGGCAAGACTGCCATTAAAGTCGAAATATAATTTATTTCTAAGTTCCTAATAATGAAAGTTCCCATGCTGGTGACCTAGGTTTTATATGACTTTAATGTTGTTGTAGATTTGTCATTTGTATCAAAAGCAGATGTGAAACTCTTCTCAAAGCACCATTGCCAAATCATCTTTCTTGACCAGTGTCATGAAGAGAAGCAACTCACAAAAATAGCTGCCTTTGAATTCAAGGCTTGGACCAAAACCTCCTTTTACCAAAAGTCCTAGTAATAATTTGGAAAGAATCCAAGAGAAGAATGAAGTAACATTTAAAAGGGACAGGATAAAGGTAAACACATATATCCAAAACATATGACTGCTGAATCCACAACACTAATTGGAGCCCTTCATCTGATGGCTAGTTCTGCTCTCCCCAAAAATTGTCAGTTATTAAACCAAGGGATTTGTAACTTCAGCCAAGGTTGCAAACCTTCATGGTTCACATCACATACAAGCAGGTATATATCAAAGCATCCTTACTCTCTAAGACCTTTTTGCTACTTACAGGAAACTCTTTCCAAGGACTTACTTCATACCATTACAGCAAAACTCTACAGAGTCATTTTAAATTGTCAGTCTTTGGCTGAAATGGACACCATTATAAAAAGCTGGAATGGATGACATTTTAGTAACTTATGTTCTGCTGGTAGTTAGCTTCCTGTTGTCTCATGATAAAGGATATCACAATGAGCAGATCTCTCATTACTACTGGAATAGAGAGCTGTCTGATAAGCTCTAGAGCTTGTATGATACTTTAATCAAAAGCCCTTACCAGAGGGTTGCTAACTACAAGAAGCTGATACTGTAGTTGAAATCACATTCCGTTAAACATGAATGCATGATTAGGATACCTCAGCTGCTGTGTTCTAGATGTAATCCATGGCACGGTGACTATTTTGCAATATGCTTCTATATCAAACATATTGAAGTTAAGCAGCATTATGTACGAGCTTTCAGAAATTCAGAAATGGCTAAGTAAAACTTCTGTTTGCCTTGTTGTCTTTGCATTAGAGTGGGTCCAGCTAGAGAGCTTTGCTAGCTGGGTGTTTCAGCAAATTAAGTTGATATTCACCCAGAAGCTACACACAGGCAAGTTAAATGTGTTCTGAGCACTGCAGGAGGACTAACAGATTGCTGTACTGTGTAGGCATGAATTTCACCATCATCTGGGAAGGCATAATGCATATGTTAATTAGTAGCATTTGCCAATTTACCTTGGACATCACTAGAGATGAAGTAGCTTAACAGTTGAGAAAAACTGAACTTAGTGAACCTCCGCCTTAATCATCAAGAGTGTAGAAGGCTAAGCCACCACCATGATCACAGAAATCACATTATGTATAATCAGGAACACTTATGATTAATTATCTATTATGCAGCTCTAGTAGTCCTAGAATTCTCATACCAAAAAAGCTGTATGGGTGAACGGAAATGATTTACACACTACTGAATCAGATACATAAGGTATTTATTCTGAGTGCTTACCTCTAACACAGACAGCAGCACACTCAGACCATTTCACAGATGTTTTGTCACAAGGGGAAACAGCTTATACAAGTCTGCAACTCCACTGAATGCTTTGGAATTTGTCAAACAGACTAATATCGCTGATGTCACATATATTTGCATATTATATACAACATTACAACGGATTTAGAAACTCTAGCCATGTTCTGAAAGGCCCTATCAGTGCCAAACTATAGGAATAGAAATTTCGCTAAGATAAACAAGACTACTTCAGAATCTCAATCATCAGAAAAACAGCAGCAACACATTTCCTTTACTCAAAGTAAACAGCTTTCTCTCTAGGATGATGTTCTCAAGTGAAACAGATGAGAAAGGGATGACTCCCTCTGATTTAATCACCAGTTCCCATAGTGCCTATGTCATCTCAGAGAACACTCCCCAGGAGACATATCATGAGGTGTCAAAAGATTTTCCCTACCAAAGGCAGCCCTCAAGGTAGCAAAAAACAGAGACAGAGTGCAGTTACTCATCACAGAACAAGATCTGGAATTATCCAGGCCACAAAAGAGGGGATTTGAGCCCATTAACAAGGAGGGATTCTGTGCAACACCTGATGCATCAAATCCTCATAGATGGCTATTCCAGTGAAGTCAATCCAGAGAAGCAGCCTAGCATGCTAAATCATGTTAATGAGACCGCTGAACTCGTTAATGCCCAAGACTTTGGCTGTGTGCTTCACAGAATATTCTGAGTTAGAAGGGACCCTCAAAGATCATCAAATCCAACTCTTAAGTGAATGGGCTGTACAAAATCAAAATCCCTGTGGTGTTATTACCACCATGCTCTAACCAGTTGAGCTAAACTCAGGCTCATGCTCTTTTCCTGACGTTTAGAGCACCAGAATGTCTCTCCAGCACAGCTTTGCCAATGCAGAGCAGGATTTTAAGCAAGATGCTGTCCTGCTGAACTCAAATTTACCTCAAGGACTGTCGACATCATGGTGCTGGCATGCTCTGGTAGGCATGGAAACCTTAAACGAACACGCTTGCCACGAGTCTTCTTGGATAGAAGCAACAGGTATGTTGCTGACATGTGGTCATATTTCCACTGTGGGGTCAGGGAGAAAGAAAGAAAAAGTATTTTTATCTCCTGTTTGGAAACATTGCAAGTACAAGTCAAGCACAGCCTTTGAGTATTTCTATGTCTCTACAAGTTTTTCTACCTGACATGCAACCCTAATTACACATAACTGTAATTTCAGACTTCAAGTGATTTGCATTACATGCCTGAAATCAAGAAAAAAGGCACTATGTTGGTTGTTTGCAAGTTCGTTCGTAGTTCATGCAGTAGCATGGAAATGCTGGAGTGAAGATCTACTGAATTGAATGCAAAGCTAGTAATTCAGTTTACTTCAGTAAGAGTATAAATTTTTTGGAAGTAACTCCTGCTCATTCTTTCGTAACCGCCAACTTTTTGCATGATTTTCAGCAACTCTGTGTGCGTGAGGAACATAGACACCACTTTTGATGGGTTTGCAGCATAATGTAGTTAGTTTGAATAAGTTATAAGGGATTAGAAGTCTTCCAGGAAAGGACTATGTAAACATCATAAACTTATTTGGAAGGACTTTCCCCTCTGTAAAGAGGTTATTCTGATTATTTGCTATAACTAAAGAACAAAAAGTATCAACTCCACAAGTCTGTTGTAAGTATCACACACATTTAAAAAGTCTGTTTCTGCTACAGTTATGTGGAAAACCCAAGTATTTTCAGAAACCCAAAACTATTGTCACTGCTGAGAAGTACAAAGAAGCAGAAAATTCAGTTTTAATGAAGAATTTTCAGATTCAGGTAAAAGCTGGAGTACACATCATGTTTTAAGTCTTTTCAACAGCCTGCAATGTTAGTGCTAACATTTGCACAATTCTTCCAGAAGTATTCAGTTCAACTTTTGTAATTTGTCACCAAAAATGATTAAACATACTCGCTGTTTTTAGAAATCTGTGAATAGCAACTCAAAAAGCTCCGTAATTTTTGACTGCTTGGGTGTTGGTGATATTTCTACTTTTTTTTCTTTTCCTACTCTTTATTGAAAAATTTCAAAGCAAAGAGTTAACCCAGCAAATGGTATCTGTTGTTCAACTATAAATTTCTACAAGTCTATTCTGACGTTTAGAGATTCAGAAGGATTTTACCATTGTGGTAGGATATAGCAAAGAGTAAGATTTAGGGAACATGAAGATCACAATTAAAAGAGAAAAAGAAATAAATAAATTTGATCTTCTGGAATAGTGGCTTGTAGTTATAAGCTACAGCCAGATTCCACAGTTCTGCAGGGCCTCCTTAAATCTGAAATGTATGTAAAATATCATACATTTGGAATATATGAGTATTGATCTGATAACACAGTAAATTTATTTACTCTATTACTGTATTTAATTACTGTAAACCACTGACAAACTTCTTACCTCATTTATTAATTGCAATATAGACTCCCTGCTCTGCTGATGAAACACAGAAAGCTCTCTTACACAGTCCTCATCAAGATGTCCCAGCTGCAACAACACAATGGATATTGAAATGTGAGGTTTTCAATTTACCCCCTAATCCATATCTGACAGTGACACTGTTGTGAAACCCACTGGCCTGAGTCAACAGTCAATGATGATTTTAGACCTTGTATTTCAAATGTTTAGTATCACGGCTAAACATTGTAGGAAACACACTGAAAAAATCATACAACTTCAATAACTTCACATCCTCGATCCTCATAGGTGAGAGCTTATAAATTCAAATAAACCACCCAAAAGCTGGTAAGATTTTTACTAGAATGGAAAGTATGCTTTCATCTGCCTACAAATATCCAAAGCTATGAGCCATGCCCATCTTTACCAGAGCCAGGTTGCACTGATGGTGTGAGCACAAAGTGTCTTTATTTGGGGTAACAGTGGCATCTAGTGGCATTGGCTGTCAACATGCAGGAACTTGGAACGTTCTGCTGGCAGCCAGATTATTTTGGTTCTTTTCCTCTTTTCCACACTGCATTCATCTCTCACATTATTAAAACAAGTGACAGAGAGACAGGATGACTATTCTTTCAATGAAATTTTAAATTTTCCAATTAAAAATTGGAAAATTTTAAATTTCTTTTATTTTCATTGGAATTTTTGAAAATTCCAATTTTCATTGAGGACTACATACAAGATAAACTATAACCACATCTTGCATGACCTTCTGAGTATTTGTGTTTTACACATTAAAGAAAGTACTGATCAAGCAGCCTAGGGAAGGAGCTGGTCATTCATATGTGGAAGGACTTCACTCAGTTATTCTGCATATTCAGCTAAAGAATATAAGGAAAACACATTTGAAATTTCTCCTCAAGAGAAATCAAGACCAAGTAAAAATATTTTGACAGCTAAAAGAATCAGAAAAGAACCACAACCATCTCAAAGCTCAGTTTGTAACAATTTCATATACCACGCACTATGAGGATGGTAGTAAGCAAGCAAATATTACATGAAATGCTTTAGTATCTATCTGCCCAAAGTACTTACTGGGTATTTACTTTGCCACTGAACAGCATCAGAAAAACCTTGCATGAGCCAAGGATGACTTAACAAGTGTTGGACTGTAATTCGCTTCTTTGGGTCGACCTGGTGTGCCATAAAAATCAAAGTGATACTTAAATTGTGGAGAAAAAGTGAAGAAACAATTTATCTTCCACTCAGAATGTTAGGGTGATTAGGGACAAAACCAGAAACGAGTACTTTTTCAGACCTTCACAAAAGGAAGCTCGCACTCAAAGATCTTAGCTGTGAAGAGCAGTTATGGGAGCCTCCTAGGGGATATGCAGCATTGGCTTTTTTCCTTAGGTGTAGTCCAAACGTATGTTTGGGCTACAAAACAACTCTCGTTTTTATAGCACACGATGAAAAACCAAATGCATGCTGTTTGAAGATTCTGTTAAATCATGTAAACTTTGCTAATTATTTTTGAAATCAAACATTTTTCCCAAAGACTTTTTTGCCAAAGGCAATCATAATATTTTCTTTAAAAATTGTAAGAATTAAACTTTTTATTTAAACACAGAATATTTTTAAATAGTTCATTGATGTAATGTTTTGAACCAATTATATAGTACTTTATACATCTATTGAACAGAAACAATAACCTTTACCTGCAGCATTTGGTCAAGGAGGAGTGTACTGCTAGGAGAGAGCCACTTTGGAGTACTGTATTTTCCTCTCTGCAAAAAAAGAAGAGGATTTAGAACTAACACTGAACCTCAAAAGGAACTACTAAATTACTTGGACAATAGTGACATCTGTACTTTGTAAAAATAGAACAGCAGGAAGATGTGAACTTTGTTTAAAGAATGACTTGCATAAATGTCATGGCAGTAGTAAAACCCAGCAAGATTAGTAAGGAAAATGCTTGAATCACCAGCTGCAGTTTTTGTCCACTCTGCTTGTGTGACACTTCCATTTCCACCCACTTTTGCAGATAACCTGCTCCTTTCTCCATTGCCTTGGTTCATGCTATCAACTTCATACTGAAGTTCTAGAAGTGCAAACATCCTGGATTATGAATGACTGATATTAGCACTTTGCAATGTGAAGATTCCCTAAAATCACTACTTTTCAGACACTAAAATTACACCATCCTCAGTATTAGGATATTCTTTTTTGAATAGGTTACATCTAATGCTAAACTTTCAATCTCATATATCAGACAGGAGAAAGGTTACAGATCTAGCAAGTGAGATTTTTTTCAAGATAATAATTTACAGTTGTTTTTCTTTAATTTTTCATTAGAAGAAAATTGAAAAAACAACTCCTAGAAGTGAGGCATAACAGTAGCTAGAAACCAAACCAAATTCACCATCAAGAATCACTTATTTCTGAATGAAAACCAAGATAAAAAGAAAATCAATACAAAGTCATTATCAAGTAACATAACTATAATTTTGTAATGGCATTTTTCTTTCTATGGACAAATGCCTTAATAACAAAACAGTTGGTACCACATGCAGCCACATTTCTAAGTACAGTATGTATTGTGTTGACATCACATATTAACAACTTTCAGTTACATCTTTACAGACACTACTAGTAAGTTATTTAGTAATAGTTTTGTAGGCTGCCTTATAACATAGCTTTACTATGAAACTAAGTAACACAGTTAATCTACATTTTGGCTTTAGTATAACAGTACAGAACATCAACATAACAAACAGCAATTCTCATATGTTGTACTGTGGGCAATACTGGATAGTAAATAGGTTATGACATCTGCCAAGCACATAAGGTCATACCAGAAGTAATTCCTTTTTTACAGTAGTTATGCCACAGCTTATTTTTTCAGTCAAAAAGTCAAGCCACTGATTTAAAAATGATGAGTACATTCCAGGAAATTAACGCTGCATGTAAGGCATATGATTTTATTTAAATTCAAGAGGCAGATTTGACTTAGAGCAACAGGTTTGAGATGAGAATACAATAAATTTCAGGATTTAAAATGTGTGAAACTAATTCCGTAATAGTGGGTGTCCTCATTTGAAACAATTTTCAATTCACAACCACATAAAATGAAAACAATTTCAGAGTGGAAATAGCAATATGCATCTTAACATGATTAGTTTTTGACTGCTCCCAGACCAAGCTTTGAAACCTCATTTGCTGTTTCAGCTCACTTCAGCTCATTCCACTGCCAGACACTGTGTTGCTCCAAACAACTCAGTTCATAATTCCTGTCCAGTCTTGACTATGGTAACTACACAGAATAATTTTTGATACTCTTAATTAAGATCTCCATTTCACATCTGAGTTCTCAGCTCAGTGAATGCTTTAAGCAGTTGGATCATTTACCAGGCTCTGCATTGTGGTGTAATGGGCACCAAAAAGGGTTTTGTCATCCTATGACAGCACGCTTATAAGGGGACACATTCTCAATATGCTCTGACCTTTAGGGTAGACAACACAGTTCACATCACAAGCAGAGAGGGAAAAGCAGCTCAACAACCCTGTTACTTAATGGCAATTTCACTAAGAAACTAAGTGCTTGCTAGCATTATTTGGACGAGACTCCTAATCACATGGTTTAGTTCAGGTAGTCTTGCAAAGAGCAGGAAGTTGGACTTAATGATCCTGTTTGCTATCTTCCAACTCAAGATATTCTATTACTATATGAGTTGGGAAGTCATGTAAAATACTGGCATCTCATCTGAACACTAGCACCTTTACACAATCCCTTTGTATTAGATAGTGTTTGCTTTTTTTTCCTTTTTTTTTTTTTAACATTCTCTTCGATAACTCAAACTAAGCTTCCTAGTCAAGGTACTTCCTTCTGTCAAGGTACTCAAGTGTACTCCAATTCCAGATTAAAAATCCACTCTCTGTTGAAATAATCAGGTGCTTCATAGAGCTCAGACTGTTATGCATCCTGAAAACGTTTCCTGAGCAAACCAGCATCAGTTGCCCCCTGCCAAAGTAGTCCTTGAATACTCTCAAGAAGGGTTTTTTGTCTTTTTAAAGACATATCAGACTCTTGGTGAGAGGAGAATTAAGTAGAGGAATACAAAGCCATTATTCCACACTGCTCTTCATCATCCAACTGAGACCAAGCTTCATTAACACAGATTTTTATGCCAGCTCAGAAGTGGCTGGCAGAGATGCATATGTGCTGAGGAACAACAGCTGTTTAGCCACATCAAGAGGAGTTTAGAGGGAAAGAATTAATGTCTTAATCGTACCACTTACTATTTATTGAACTCCTTTTGGAAGAGGAAAGTATAATAGCAGATGCAGAATTTCGCTTTTCCTACACATGAGAGTGGCTGACATTCAAGAAGAGTATTTTTCAGTAATTTTTAGGGAGAAGACAGATAAACACTTAGATATAAAAGTCCAGTTGTCTAGCAAGAAAATGCATTTCCTGAAACTCACTTTTCTACTGTATCATAGGACCAAGCTAGAGTACTGTTCAGGCTGAGGGAAAACAGAAACAAATCCACAAAATACTGATCAAAAGAGAAGCAAAATATAACAAAATTCAGCAGATAAGCTTTTTTTGCTCAAATCAGAAAGTAAAAATTTCCCATAATGCTTAGTGATTCCTGTTCCTCATGTATTCTAGTGTCATCCACACATACCATGATCTTCCTGTAGACAGCCATGACATTATCATCATCAAAGGGGAGAAAGCCACACAGCAGAGCATACAGCAGTACTCCCATACTCCAAATATCTGCCTGAAAAGTAAAAGTGAGAGTTCACAAACCTCATCTGCTTAAAATGGCTTAGAGACTGATCACATTGTCTCCTTTTGGCAAAGCCCACACGAAACCTGTGGAAAGTAGGTTCCTTAACTCTGAACAGAACTCGTGAAAGCACACAATTTTCAATTCACTGAAACCAGAGCACTAGTAAAACCACTACCCTTTTTCTTAGGTCACCAAATTGCTGCATTACCTTCAACCTACAAGGAATTCAGTGACAAAAAAGAAATCAAACTCATCTGAAGGGATTTTGTACTCAAAAGTGCTTGTGATTATGACAGCTGTCAGTACAGTAACAATCGGCTTTAAAGTCACACTGTTTCTTTTCTGTATAGACATGACAAGGTCTACATGCCTCATACTTCAACTCTCACTTCAGTCATAAAGATCAAGGAGGTTTGAGAAGCACCAACTTTGTGAAAAACTAAAAGAAAGCAAGACTTAGAGGTCAGGGACAGTAATGCAAAGGAGGTAAAGGAAAAAAACTGACTCCATCCAACAGCAGAGACAGTAAGAAAGTTTGAGGAGATGATTGAAACGGCAGCATTTTGAATGGATTGACAAGGGCACGTAGCAGACCCTAATGTTCTAGACATGGAATCAAAGCTGAATAAATGCTACAGGTTTTGTTGTCTTTAATTTTACTACACTGCACAGTAAAAAGAGCAAGTTTTCATAGAAGATTTCAAAGGCAAAGTACACAAGATACTGAGACTGCATAGAATTTGCAACAAGACTTGGCAAATTAACAAAACAAATTGCTGTTTGGAATAACATGGTGGAAGACAGTTATTTTTTGTAGAGCAACACCTGGGAACAGTGAAGAATTAGTCAGAGATGAAGAAGCCAGGTGCATAACCTTTGGTCAGGAGCTATTCCAGGCTGTGACTACTCTCAGTCACACAGCTTTTGAGGACCACTGAGGCAATATGAGAGTGAAGAAAGACACCAGGGGAGTTGATCTGAATCTCACCAGCTTTAAATACATGGTGCGCATGGAAAAAAACCACCCTAACCTACAATTTTATCGCCTACCTCTGAGCCAATGTATGCTTTGCCCTGAATCAGCTCTGGTGCCGCATAGGCTGGGCTTCCACAGCAGGTGTTCAGATGGTAATCAAGGCCGCCCTAGAATAAGACAAAACTGATGACAAAGAAGCATTGCTATAGCACAAATGGTGTCTTCTAGCAACAACATATTAAAGGCCGCAGAAGCTTCATTTTCTAATGCTCTCTATATATAGTCACCTAACATTTTGCTTTGATATAATTAATATATGGCTTAACCAGGCAAAAACTGTCCAAGACTGGAAGACTCCTATAAATGTTCAGACCCCAAGCTGCTCCTTCATATGTTCTCCCAGCAGCCTTTCTGCAGCTCCTCCTGTGACAGGAATACCTCCCTTTGTGACCAGAAAGAAAACAGATGAATTTGGGAATTAGCAATCCAGGACCTACTGGGCAGGAGGCTGGTTGGATATTTATATCAATATTTTAGGCAATAACTTCATGAAGAGCCACTAAAATGCTTCCTTATTAAAAACACATTATTTCTTAGCCTGGGCTTTGTTTTAAGCAGATCAGAGTGAGATGACATTGTATCACCAAGATTGTGGTCCAATACTCCTGATTTCCTGCAAGGTGCTTTAACTTGACTCAGCTAAAGCAATCTGTGGACTTTGGATATGTAAGATCTTATTTCCATTAAATTCCTTCTTCCCAGTGACCATCTCATATGTAAAGATGACAGAACAACAACACAGAAACGAACTTTAAACTTGATAAACAACTCAGTACCACCACGTATATCCAGAGGCTTTGTAAAGGTAAGGGGAATCTATTTGATTTGATCCACAACCTCCATGTGATAAATAGATATGATTTGTGCTGATAAAAATTGAAACAGTAATCAATATTGATACAGTAATTAATATTTGAGAATAATAAAACAGTTAACAGTTGTAATGCCAAAGAAGAGAGGGAAAGGAGGGGCTCCACCCCCGCCTTCCCAGCAGATGTTCTCAAGGACCACAGGAAAGAAGCTGAAGATACAGTTGCTAAAAATGACCAAGAACCTGGCTGGGTCCAAGAAAATGCTAATTATAAAGGACTTATTGCTTTGATATGTAGATGCAGTGATACGTTAGTCTTGGCTTACATTGTACTGGCTTGGTGCGCATGTGTAACCCAAAGGTGAATTAAAGGGTAATGAAGAAGACTACAGGGCCTTCATCAGTGACGACCCCCAAAGACTTGTGCGACCACCAAACCGAGTGGTGGTGCCTGCGTGGTAAAGGTGGTAATGAAGGCGGAGACAGAAAAGTGACGAACCGAAAATAGGAGGAGATGGCATTGACACATGTCATATAAGGGGTGACTTTCACTTGGCAAGCTTGTACGTGAAGAGGCAAGGGTCATTGAACCCTGCCCTCTGTACCCCATGGTTGTTTTTGCTTATACACTATTATTTGAACCAAATTATCCCTAATTTTTATATATATATATATATATATATTTAACTATTTAATTAAAATTGTTGCTACCTTAAATATTGTTTGGGTTTTTTTAATGATGGGATAATTGGGCAAACATAACATCCACACACAGACAAATCCTATGAAAATGACATCTGCTATTGAAACTTACTGGGGGCAAATGGACACCAACATAAGCTTTACAGTGCAGGCCTTTGTGGGAGTAGATACTCTACACACAAGGCAATATGTGCCTTATATTGGGATGAAAGATGAAGTGCAGGAGGAGAAAAACTGATATTCTCTGCACAAAAACTGTTTCACACTGGTAAGGCCCTACCAAGCAATTAGCAGTGGGACAACTACACCAACCGCTCAAATTCAGGGCAAGGCTCTGCACTGCACCCTGAAGGCACGCCGGCAATTTTTATGAGCAAGCTGTAGCTAATTCAGCTCTGCTATGATAGCAACTGACACCCTTACCTTTGGTTTTGCACAAAGTCCAAAGTCTATCAGCTTCAGGTTATGTTCCTCGTCAATCAGCAAATTTTCCTAGTAAAAGAGAAAGTGGTAATGAATTCTTACATAATGCCAGGTATCCAAGAAACCACATTTTTGTTCACCTTATTTCTTCTTGCCATTACCAGCCCTAATTTACCTGAAGCTCTCCTCTGGAGATTTTGGTCTGTTACTAATGAATATATCCTATATTACAGACAGGGAATACAAGCTCCTACCTGCTCAGAGAGGCCTAGGGGGCTGCTACACAGAAAGCAAAAACTGCGAGGCAGCAGCCTGCCCTGGCAGAAAATGCAGCCAGTGATATCACAGATGGTGTGAAAAGAAGCAGAGCTGGCAAAATGGGGAAAGCCTCTTGCCCTCTGTTCACCACACTGACAACAGCACATTCAGTTTCTGCCCACCCTCTAGCACAGGAAAGACAGCAAACCGAAGCCAACCCTGTGGATGGAAACCAGCCTGTCCAAGGTGCTGGAGCACTTCTTCCATGAGGACACTGAGGGAGTGATGATTTTTCAGCCTGTAGGTGACAAAGCTTCAGTGGACAGCACTTGGCAGCCTTTTCATTCCTACAAAGGGGGCATAAAGACAGCACCAGCCCCTCCAGAGAAGCACAAGGTGGGATGATGGCAGTCAACAAGCTTCAGGAGACATTCAGACTGGTACTAAAAAAACTTTTTTCTCATAAAAAAGGAAGTGAAGAGCCTAACAGGTTTCCCAGCAAATTATGGTGCCTCATCCTAGGTAAAGGTCCAAGATGTGCCTAGATGAAGAAGTTTGGTCTGACACTATTTTAAACAGGAGATAAAAGCAGAAGCCACTAGTAGTCAATTCCCAACCAAGTTATCTCACAATCCTATGAATCCATCAGGTCTGCAGCTACAATCCAAATCTTTCCAAGAGGGACACACAAGGCTTTGCTTGGAGAGAAGCTCTTTGGAGACAAGGATTTCCTGAGCTGTCAAGTAAAATGCTTGTATCCAAAGAATTTGCTTTCCTCAGTTATCAGTATCTCTGACCATGCAAACTTCTAACCCCTTCTAGGAGAAATAGTCTCAAGGCTTCCATTCCCTAAGCCCATGCTTAAATCTTGTGGTCACAGCAAAGCCACAGGATCAGTCTTGTGGCACATCCCTCCTCTGTCCTTACTTGTTTACAGTGTGGGAGAAACATTTTCCTTTGAATGTCAGAACAGAACAGTTTGCACAATAGAGAGGAACCATAACAACTCTCCCTGAGTACGTGCTGAAATAAAGGGGATAGCAAAAATGCCTAACCAAAAGTCAAAATCAAATCTGTGCCTGCTCTACTCTTAACTGGAGTGCACTATTCTGTTCCTCTTCCAGAGGAAGATCCTTCCTCACATACAGCTACATTCAGCTCAGTTGAGGAACAAAGCAATAAGCAGAAATAATGCTTTTCAGCAAATGTTAACTAAACAGCTCTAAGCACAGGAGAACAGAGAAGACAATTCACACCAGCTCCACTCAGAGAAATAAAAGTGGGTGTTCATTATTATTTGTGCAAATTTGACTATTGTTCAGACTTACTGGTTTGAGATCTCTGTGGGCATATCCCTGACTATGCACATAAGCAATTGCTGAAACAATCTGACGAAAAAATATGCGAGCTTCCTCCTCAGAAAGGTGGTCCTTAGAAATTATGTAATCAAACAGCTCTCCTCCAGGACAGTACTGCATGAAAGCAAAGAAAAAAAATGCATTTGGGATACGGTCATGAAATGTAAACATGAACAAGGGCACTGGACAGCAGGAAGGCACTCTTCTCTTTCTCTCCCTCTGCTTAATCCCAGCAGCACCCAGGCCAGTGTGCAATAGATCCAGCAAGACCAAGAGCCCAACTCTTGCCTGATGATTCCCACAGCCATACCACACAACCAGCACAGGTGACAGAAACTGCCTAAGACATGACAATTCGGTGGCACTTCTCAGGTCCCACATATCCTGCTGGCGCTGTTTTTTGGAGTGTGAGGTGGGAATAAAGTCAGTTTGTTTACTGCAAACAGTGAAGAGTGGCTTTTACAATGAGACAGAACACATTAGCAGCTTCATTTTTAAACTACAACCCCTTGGACACACTCATCATTGAGATGATTTTCTAAGAATTGTTTCATTTGGACTCTACTACCATCTACTGCTACGACTAAACCCAGAGATTGTTGCCATAGCAGAAACACCATTCCTTACCTCTAAAACCATGAATATTTTCTTGGGTGTCTCAATCACATGATACAACCGGCAAATGTGCTGGTGGCTCAAGTCCTTCATGGCATCGATTTCTAATTTAACACGAGGCAAGTCATCCTAAAAGATCACAACAGCAAGGTATGAAATTGCTAAGTAGTTTGATAGCCTGTACCTCAAAGTAAGCCTGCACATCAGAACTGCTCAAACTTAAACCAGCACCAGCTCTGTCACTGCTCACCTGCCCTCCTCACACACTGGTCAGTAAAACCCAAGGGGGCAGTTGTACAATGCTACTAGTCTCATCAGGACTCCATTGGACTTACAGTGATTTATTTAGTTACTTAATATTTAAAGCTGTAACTGCCTCAGTTTTACAACCAGGGAATGTTGCCCTCTCCATATGAGGGCACAGCATTTGTGGTGCTAGTAGAATCCTTTCAAGTTTACAGCTTCTACCACTATCCCACAATGACAGGTTGCACGCGTGCTCCTGAGAGGTCCACAGGAACAGCACATTACCGCCTCTGAAGTATCTTTTGGATTACCTGTAAAGCAAGCTTGTCCATGATTTTTATTGCAACTTTTTCACCAGTGAGACGATGTCGCGCAAGTTTTACTTTGGCAAACCCACCTGGAATTTGAAACAGAAATGTATAAAGCTCTGCATGGCGACCAGCTTTCTCACCCTGATCTCAGTTGCCCTGAAGCAAATATGATACGCAGCATCACTGCTAGAGGAAGAAGCAATTGCTGCCACTACTTTCCAGTTACACTTCCACAATTGTGACCCGCAAAATACACCGAGAAACATGACCCACAGACTCTGAAGTAGCAGTTACTCTCTCAGACAAACATCGAGGTGAGTGGACACATGACACACACTTGCTAGCATTCACAGACTGAGCCCACCTGTGCCGACTGTTCCGTGTAATTCATAGTACTTGAGAATTTCCTCATAGTCATCTCCGGCCATTCTGTGACCCGCAGGACGCGGGCAGCTCTCCTCAGCACCTGCAAGGGGAGACCGCAGATTGCGCTCATGCTTTCGGGCACAGGAACCGACTCACCAGCAGCCCCGGGGAAGGCTGAGCGGCTGCTGTTCCCACAGACCTGTCACGGCGACCCGAGCCGCAGCGGCCAGAAGACCCTCGAGTCCCACCCCGTTTCTTGGGGCGCTGCCGGCAGGAGCCGTCCCGAGTGTTCCTCCGTGCCGAGGCAGCGAGCCCACAGCGGAGCAACCTGGAAAGTCCGTTACCGTTCAAATGTCCCGCTTCCGGCCGCCGGGATCGAAAAGCCAATCTCCGCGCGCCGCCAAACCGGAACGGGCGTGGAAGGCACGGTATACTGGGTGGGAGGGAGACTGGCAATGGGGGCTGCCGGCGTGGGAAGGTGTGTCAGCTGGCTGCTAACGGGCGCAGCTTCAGCCGAGAGCAATCCCTACGGAGACAGAAAGCAACATCTGCTTCTCGCAAGAAAGCGCGTACCCAGGAGCAGCGGTCGGGCCTGGAGCGGGGTCCGCGCGGCAGGGGCTGGCGCCAGGCACAAGATGGCGGCCGAGGCCGTTGCTCCGAGGAGGGGGTATCTCCCGCCGCTCCCCTCGGACTTTTCCATCAAAGCCCCGGCCGGCCGTGGCTGCCGTTCCCAGCACCGCTCCTGGGTATCTTGGGGCTGGCCTATCCGAGGCACGGTGTCTCTCCGGGCCGGAGCAGCGCGGGGCAGGTGGGAGTCTCCGTTGTGAGGTATATGTTTAGATGACTGTTAATAGACAATATGTTCATTAATGCAGCATTGCAGCTTTGCTCTGTGCACGCGAAGAAACACAAGAAGTATGGCAAATGTGAGGGGATATGGGCAGCAAACATGGGGGAAAATAGGGTTGCAAAATCATCAACTCTTACCAAAATGTCCACAGCAAAACTGGACTGTGTGGCTCCCTCAGGATGCTGCACAGGCTCAGGGCCAGCCATACCTCCAGAGATTAGCGTGGCCTTGGGAGCTAGGTGCTAGTCCTCTGTCCCATCCTTGTGCTGCCATGCAGAGCTACCGAACAGTCTGTGCAGAGCCTGGAATGCTCTTTTGAAGCGGGATGGCTGTTGCCAGCAAAGAGCCCACTGCTTGCTGAGGGCATAGGCTTCCATCTGCCAAGGCAAGGCTTGGACTGGGATGTTTGGCTGTGCAGGGAAAATGCCTGTGTCTCTCAGGGGGCAGGATTAGAGAGTCCCTTTTCTGTAGAAGTACATGATCTTGTACTCTTGGGATAGCTTTTTGTCACTTGGGACAGGCCCTAGACACTGCAGATTTCCTCTAGGGACAGATCTTAGTTGATGTAGTCTTTCCACTCTTCCTCCTCCTTGGCAAAGGCTCTATCCTTGGACTTTGGCACTAACAGGACTGAAACCCCCACCTGTCCCTGCCCACTGCGTGCTGTGGGCATGGGCTTTTAACAAGCGAGGTGAAGGACTGGGTGAGCAGCAGGGGCTGTGTAGTGCAGCTGCCTGGCTTTCTGCCCCTGCACCTGTCACCTGCCCACTGAAGGCCAAAGAAGCTGGTTTTTGCTGCCTCTTCTTCCTCAGAAGCAGGAGATGCCTGGTGCTCCCCTTCCTCAGGAGCTCCAGCCAAAGCTGGCTCAGAGGCTGTGGCACCCACTGGGGCAAGAAGTGCTCAAGTCACCAGCTGCCTCTCCTGCTACCTCTGTGACCATGCTGCTGAGACAGCTAGGCCTCCTCTGGGTAGCAGTGTGAGGGTCCTCATTGTTCACTGGGCCCAAAGAGTTGTCCCAGGTGCTGTAGCTGACATCATCTTCTGGTTTAGACAGACCTTGGTCTTTTTTGTCTTGCCAATGAGACAGGTTTTTTTTTCATTGTCATCTCCCCTTTGAGAGAGCTCTTGGTTGTTGCTGCCTTCCCCTTGGGACAGGTCTTGGTCTTTCTCCTGTTCCGGTTGGGACATTGTCTTTCCCATGGGAGACCTCTTTGTCATTGTCATTTTCCTACTAGGACATGCCTTTGTCAAAATGATCTTCATCTTGGGACATGTCTTTGTTGTCTTCCTGGTGGGTAAATTTTTTGTCATTGTCCTCTTCCCTTTTGGAGAGTTGTCTCTCCTGTATTTGCCTTGGGACATCTCTGTCATTCCCATCTTCCTCTTGGGACATGTCTTTGTCATTGTTGTATTCTAATTATGACAGCTCTTTATCACTGTATTTTTCTCACTGTGCCAACTCTTCATCTCCTGCGTTCACCTTGAGACAGATCTTTCTCATTGTTGTCTTGCCTTTCAGCCAGTTCTTGGTCTCTTGTCTTCATTTTGGGACAGCTCTTTGTCCTTAATGTCTTCCCTTGGCAGAGCTTTTGCTATCCATCATCTTCCCATTCTTTCTCTTCTTCAGATAAGGTGGCATGATTGGAAAATTTGGTTCCAGAAGCTCTAGCACCCTCTGATGACTCATGATTTTTTCAAAATCCTGGAAAACTTGTCTGGCTTTCTTGAGCGGGGGCAGTCTATGCTTTGCACAGGCTGGGCTTCTCATCTTCACTTCCTGTGAAGGCTCTGTCTTGGACACAGTGCTCAGATCCTTTGCAGTCTTGTGGTGCACCAGCAGAGACCTGCTGCTGAGGTTGCATTAAATGATGGTGCTCTGTCCAGTGCCGTGTCCCTGCATCGCTGCCCAGGGAAGCTGGTGTAGCCATGCTGTATGCCCAGTCTCAGCATTCTGCTGTGTCTCTGGCTCCACATGTTTTTGTGAGGGATGTCATGCATAGGGGTCTGGTTCTTGTCCTTTGTACCTGCAACACAGGCTGTGTGGTGCAGCCCTCAAGCTCTGAACATCTGTGGCTGTACCCTGCTCACTGTGGGTGCCCTGAGCAGTGAGAACAAGCGATAGGTGGCTGTTGCTCCTGTGGTGATGGCCATTCTCTTGCCCCTGGCAGAAGCAGTCAGCTTCTGGCTACTGCTGTCAGAGGAGGCAGCTTGCAGGTTGTGTGTGCAGGTCTGCTGCCGCCTGTATTGCTGGCAGATGGGCTGGCTCTTCCTGGTACAGACAGGGCAGTCCCGGGCTGTTAATCTGAGAATGATTAAGGGAGAAATGTTGGAAATGAGGGAAGAAAGGGCAGGAAGCATGAAGTGACACTGTCCTAAAGCTGCTTGACCTGGAGCCAATCAACTCTTGCCACCTAGTCCCAGACACCCCTGCATCCATCACCCAGCTCCACATCACCAGTGCCCATAACTAGACCTGGACCTGACCAGTTCCAGTCACCCAGCCCTAGGTCCCTGCAAGGATTGAGAGACAACCGAGCATGCTATGCAAGCAAAGACAGTTTATTACATTAGTCACCAGTATTTATGGTTCTCTGAGTTTCATACAAAATTTTCCATTCAGACCCCTTTGCCCCTGTTCCCTCAGTAAAACAATCTTTTTGGTTATCAAGTCCCTGTTACATTCTTTTGCGCTAGCAATGTCCTTATTACATATTCTCTTGTCAGACTGATCAGAGTGACCAGACATGATGTCTTCACCTTTGTTCTTGTCTTGAGTTTATCTTTCCCACGACTTCCACTGTGGACCAAGAGGTTGGTGGTGCTACCTAGCTCATCTTCTGTGCCTGTCTAATCTTCCACAATCATTATTTGCTTTATTGAATTATTAATCAATCTCCAAATACATTGAATCAAGCGTGGCAAGCATATCACTATAACTTACAGCATCCTTAACCCAAACATTCATATTCTTGACCTTAATTCCAGTTATCCCCCAGTTTCTAAAAAGGCTGTTACACCATTCAGTTCTGTCTTCTGTTTATAATGTGGCTGCATTATCTTGTAAAGCTTTATTACTTGCATGAATAGATTGTGAATTATTAGAAATATTCATACAGCAGATTCCATCAAAATCTTTACATCCATGTCCATGTGCTAAAAGCAGAAAATCAATGGCAGCTTGACACAGTGCCAGATTTTCCCCAGCCAGGTCCTGGCACCAGGCCAAGAGTGGGCTGTTCCCAGAAAGCAGGCAGTCTAGGATACAGCTGTATGGCTTAACCTCTATGGCATCGATGGTTCAGCGTCGAAGGCATGGGGAAGAATGAGAGAGGTTTTTTTAATAGGTTCCAAAGAGGCTTATTCTAGCAAGGATCCAGGGACAAAAGACCATGAGCCCTGGTTTGCAGGGACTTTTATACAGGGGAGGACCCAGGGGAGGGTACAAATTTTCAACTGATAGGGGAGGATCAGGGAGGAACAGCAGGTGAGGTTTAACACTCAAACCAATAGGGTAACACAGGGGTAGTGGAACAGTTTAAACAAACCAATAGGGCTTGGAATATTAGGTGTTTTCCAAGGGGATTTCCAGAGCTGGGGGCAGGTACAAGGAGAGATTGACAACTGAGTAGGAGGAGGGACAGGGAACTTTCCAAAACGAGGGGCAAGCCTTAGGGTAAGATTGACAACTAGGTGAGAGGGTGCAACTCAGACTAAACCAGCAATGCAGGGGGAAAGGAACAAACCATTGGGGATAAAAACAAACCACTACAGCAGCTCGATTTTGCAGTGTAGCGTGTCTGATTGAATTAACATCAGTTAACAATCCTGTTAAAGCAAGTGAAGTAGCATTAGATTGGTGTGCTAACCGGCAGTGTAGTCTGTTTAACAATCCCAGTGGCTCTCTGGACACTACTGGAGCAAAGAAGGAGGCAGCCCAACACCATGTTAGAGACCAGAAGTCACTCTGACAAAAGCCAGAGGTTGTTATTGCAGTCAGGGATAAACACATGAATACTGTGTTTCCCTCTCTGTGGAAATCTATGTTGTGAAATCATGGATGTGTTGGGTACTAACAGCGAGAGTCATCCTAGACTGCAGGGGCCTCCCTTAATATGTGACAGAATAGCAGCCCAAGCTCTGTCTCTGCACGTAAAAACCGCTGCTGCTGGTAATGATAATGGAGCATTAGTAGAGCGAGAGATGTTGGTGGAAGTGTAATTACACCAGTCAGTGTCATTTCTGAGTAGGGCTTGGCTCAAAGAAACATCCCATGAGCCTGGGGATGGGAGTGCCAGTGGTTGCCATGGCTATGGGCTCTGGCTGCAGGCCTGAGCTGGTGTCCATGGCAACCACCCCTGGCATGGGGTCTCCATGGAGCTCCCAAGGGACTGACCATAGCAACAGGGGGGCTGGTGATAGTTTCCATGGAAACTGAGCATAGCAACATGGGGCTGGTGATGGTTGCCATGGAAACTGCCCATAGCAACAGGGGGCTGGTGATGGTTGCCGTGGAAACTGACCATAGGAACTGGGTGAGTTGTGATGGTTGCTATGGAAACTGACCATAGCAACAGGGTCCTAGTGATAGTGGGGTCCTGGGAAAATGTTAAAGATAGACTCTGAAAATGTTAGGCTTTGTGTTTTGCCAGATCATTGCACCTGCGTAAGCAGTATATGATAAATTATATAATTGTTAGATGTGATGATTGTTTAGTAATTAAATATAATTATTTAATATATAATAATATATTATTATATATTATAGTATATAGTATAATCTTATGATTATACTAATAAATTATATATTAGTATAATCATAAGAAGAATCATGAGAAACTATGTTAGAAATTTAAAGGAGGGCCACAAGGAGCCATGTTTGGCTGAAATCTATGTGTACAATAGAATAATATAAGTTTAATAATTAACATGAAAGTTATATAACGATGGAATATAAAAACATGTTCATCCTGAATGCATGTCGAATTCAGATTTGGGTTGTTACCCCTGACACCCAGAGCTCTTCAATAAAGCACCCACATATAATCATTTTTGTGATTATGTTTCTGAACGCTGACACTAGTGATGTTTGCCTGCTAAGGATCAGATTTGTCACAGGCCCTCAGAGAGGTTCCATGGGGACTTTCCAAGAGTCTCCAGGCTGTTCCAGAGGTGGAATGTCACAGGCAGAGACAGGGGCTCCATGGACACCTCCCAGGGCTTTCTGGCGATGCTAAAGAGCCCTGTGGTCAGAGGCAGTCACAGCCATTCCATGGTGACATCCCGGGGGACCTTGGGCTGCAAAGGCACCGATCAGTCACAGGCACTCACGGGGGCTCCACGGTGACATCCCAGGAGTCCCCAGGCTGGCAAAGAGCTGGGATGTCCCAGACACTCACAGGGGATCCTGTCATGGGCACAGTGGGAGCTTCAGGCAAAAGCTTTATCTCTTTATTGGAGACAATCCTTCTGAGACATGAGATGGAAAAATGACACCCAATAGCCACCATGGATCTTCAAACCCCTGCAGGGTCCCGACACTTCTAAAATTCCTTCTAAGAGAAGAGACTGGGAGTGGCTGGATCCAATCCCAGCCCCAGAATTTGTCAAACGTTTATGTGTAAAAGATTGGACAGGTGCAATTGGGCTTTAACCCAATTTGTCCCACAAGATTAATGATGGAATACCAGATAGATTTATATAAATACAGCTCTGACTGATTCTGATCATGATTAGAAGAAAGAACTTAACCACAGTCATTTACTCCACAGTATAGGAGCTATAACAATTATTAGAATACAGTGCTCTAGGCAGCAATTTTGAAGTCAAGAGGGCCTTGCTGTAGTTTGGAGCCCACTGCAGGCAGAGCCTCCTGCTCCAGCAGGAACTGCCTTTCCTGTGCCATGAGCAGGGCAGGTCCCGCTGCAGGAAAAGCCCCAG